TCATTTTCATCACAGACACAGTTTATCGAATTTCTAAATGCTTTTGATAAAAATACCAACGTCGTATGACATTTTTAGCATGTAATATTTTTTATCCATAAAAGAGTACTATCGATTGAGATTATTTGATGTGATGTGAAAGACACAATGTAGCCAAGTGACAGCGTCAACTGAACGTTATTGAATTTACCTCCGACAGTTTATTGGATCATCAAAGTAGATGAGGATCAGTGACGTCATGGTATGGTCCATAACATCACATGTTGATCAACGTGGGATGAACACAAATTGGAACGTTACTTGATGGATAAAAGACATTGTTTACAAACTTACTACCTTATAGACCTTTGAGTTAAACTGTCTCAAACGAATATTTAAAAATAGGCCTAACAATATTCTGTTAAGACTCATTTTTACTTTCTCCCCTCACAATATGGAGAAGGTATTGTTTTCGTAAACATTTTCTAGTTCGAGTTTTGTGTGGAAATATATGTTTTGGGTCTCCCTGAAACCCAAAAAGTGGTTTTTTAATGGTTAACCCTTTATAGATTCAAATTCAAATATATTTATTCAATATATTACATGCATGGCGTCACCAAGTTTACAAAAATTGTCAGCAAGGACCAATAGGTTAACAAAATGGCAAAGTTTACAGTATTTGTTTATCGTTTGGTTTTTTTTTTGTACACAAAATTGTTTTGGTAGTAGTTCTAAAGCGTTTTGACGGAGAGTATTTTGGCAGCAATACTTATCTCTAAATGCATTAAAAATGAGTATAACAATAAACAATAAGATTAAAAGAAGTAGGAACGAAACTCTTATAACCAAGGAGCTACGTAGATTGATGATTGCAATGTTTCGTTGTCTTTGGATTTGTGAGTTTATGTTGTGTGGTACTGGTACTGGAGTGGAGTGGAGTGAGTGACAGTGTCTTTCAGCCTGATAGAAAAAAGTTGCCCGTGTCGTGTTTTTATATCAAAAATAAACACATTTAGGTTTCCAACTTCCTTCCACTAAAATTTTCCTAAACACTTCGATAAATATTCACCACATAATATCATGATACTTAAAGTGCGGTGGGATCATCGAAGTATATAGTGTTATATACTTCGATGGTTGCGATTAGACCTCAACATCCAAAGGGAATGCTAACTTTTGGCGCCAAACTGTTCAGTGTGGTCAATATATTGTATGGTAAAATGTTACACCATTTTGAATGTCAAGTTTGGGGGGAGGCCAGGGTTAAAGTTAGAAAATTTGATGTTTTTTGTTTTTATTAAATTTTTTGAACACTCTGCGGGTTGGCGCAAAGTAAATTATTTACAAAAATAATCAACGACAAATTGCAAACAAGAATTGTCCTTCATAATCTTGTTAAAGCGAACGGTCACAGAGTTACAATAGGTTAGAAATTAATATTGTTAGAACATTTTAACGCTTTGAAATATGTGACTTTACTAATATGATGATCGTAATATCATACTAATGTTATAAATGTGAAAGTTTGTGTGTTTGTTTGTTTATTTGTTTGTTTGTTTGTTTGTTTGAAGTTCAATCACGCATTAACTACTGATCGGATTGTGTTGAAATTTGGTATGATGATAGCTCACATTCTAGATTAACATATAGACATATTCTTACCTGAAAAATCCTTTCGGGCTCCGCCCCAGCGGCTCTAGAGTTTCCCATGTTAACCTTATAAGTATTCATATTTAAAAGGAATTAAATAATTCTGCCCGCTGTTTCAACTACACAATTTGTTTCTATGATATTCAATATCATTAAAAGGTTATACGGTTTACCAACAGGGTGCAGCACCATTAGTTCTTTATACATTTATGACAACAGCTAATTTGAACCAAGCAGCAACAAAAACCTGAGTGTGAGAACTTTAATTCTTTCTATTGTTTAGGTGAAGTGGTAGAACATTATGGCTATGGTAGATATTCTATTTATTATACCGTAGATTATAGTAAACCAAATTTTCTCAAAACGCCTCCTCTCTCATTACAAATGCAAAGCACGAGTATTTAACTACAATAAGCATTGTATACCAACCCCGTACGAAGGACGGGTACTCAGCTAGTAATAAATATATTTCTGTATTATAACAACAAATAGTAAAAAGGCCAATATAAAGGTGCATTATTTTAAATTATAATACTTTTAACGCATTTAAATCCATAAAATGTTTTTAACAAGAAGTGTATCTGCTTATATCTTGTATAACAGATATAAGGAGAGAAATGTATAAAATACGTGGAGAGCACAGTGCAAAATGATTCGCAAAGGTTAAAAGATTCTACGAGTTTCACATAAAACTAAACTTTTATTAGCCTTATCTGGAGCAGCCGAGAAGATCCGAAAGATTCGACAAAGTTTCATGTCACTGGAACTTCATTTTAGTGAATTTTACATAGCGGCAAAAGTACAAAATCACTTAAGCCTTTTACTTTTGTGATCAAATAATGAGTGGTCTCCATAGAATGTTCGTCATTTAAAAACCCCCAGACACCTCTGAGTTAGGGCCTACATATAAAAAAATTAATAATAATCTGGTAATATTACATGCCTTAAATGTGATCATAAATAGAAAATGCTGTCATAAAATCTATTAGTCTGTTTACTGGGTTTATATTAATTACTACAACAAAAAAATTCAATATACACATTCCTTAAACTAATTAAAAATTCAATCAAGTTACTACTAACAGTTGCACACATAATCAGAACATAATCAGAATCAGTATCATAATTTATTGTCCTTCAGCATTACATACATGCAATAAACATTGTCATTTTTAACATGCAAAATATAAAAAAATACATATCATACAATTTGTAATAGATAGGCGTATAACTATAATACTGATTATTAAAAACTAACAGAATGCTCTTTATAAAATTCTTCTGGGCTGTAAAAAGGATTTTGGCTCAGCCAGTCATACAACCTTTTTTTTGTAAATACTTTAAGCTCCAGAAATTTACAGCTATGACTTAACTTATTAAATAATTTTAAACTAACTATATTCAAAATATCTTAACATTTACTTAACCTAGTATATGGCTGGTCTAGCATAGATTGGTTTCTTGTATTATGGCTATGGATATCTGATCTTAAAAACAATAAACCTAAATTGGTTTGAATATAATATAATGGTTTTGGTTATGTATTAACAGGCCCTTTAAAAGATATTTAACATATTTACACATCAAAGACTAAAAACTAGAAAATTATTTATAAATAAAAATATTTTTCAAAAACGTTACGTTTTTAAACGCACTAAAAAGTATAAAATAATTTATATATATGTTGAGAGAATAAATACTTATAAGATTTAAAACGAAAAACGTGGGCGCATGCAATAGATGATAATTCAATAGGTGATGATCATTGTAAATTACCATGCGCCCCAGGTTTTTCGTTTTCAATCTTACAAGTATTTATTCTCTCAACATATTTATAAATTATTTTAAATCGTTTAGTGCGTTTAAAAACGTGACATTTTTAAAAATTATTTTTATTTACAAATAATTTGTAAAAAAACGGTCGTAGGTAAAGTAGTAAACTACTTTATAAGCCTTTTAATTATTATTCAAGATCTAAAATTCCACACAGCAGAGCACAAAGAATGCTGTGATCGAAAATAATATACTGTATAACCTTCCAACGTATCATGATATTATTATCAAAAATTATATATATTGATAATGGTTGGGTACCAAGGCGATGTAAAAACGGTTAGTTAAGTGATAGCGACGAAAATACCGACATATAAATTCTATTTCCTATAATATTTTGATAAATATACAATACACTTGATGCTGTTGACGCATGATATGATGGAAGACTTTCTTGATGATATTGACTCTTGTCGAGTAAAGGCTCTTGACAATGTAAAACAATTGGATTAGATATGAAAAGCCAAATTGTTTCTTTCGATGAAAAGGTTTTGGTTGGACTTTGAAATATATTTTTTTGTATGTAAATGATTCCAAATAAGACCCAAATCCTTATAGGATAGTTTGGAATTTTTTAACACGTGAAGGCGATTTCTACGAAATACTACTCCTACGTTAATAACGGACGGATTTTTACAAACGACGTGTCAAAATTAAGTGGTTTTTGTGTAGACGCCCCCTTTTACCAATTCAATAAAAGCCCTCGGGCTTTGCCCCACAGGCTATCAAAATTCCAATGTATTTCTTATAAAGAAAAGATTTTGTTTACTTAAACAGACAAATCATTTGTATTAATTGCATACTAAAACAGCTGTTCATAGTAAACACATGATACACACAAGAGCGTTAGTTTTCAGAGTTTGTTTTCAGTTTCAATACCTGAAATGGAGTGATTGATTACATAATCTTTGAGTTGACTCTTTTAAGTCTTCGGAAATTATGACTGTTATTCATTTTGAAATAACGCCTGTAATACTTTACGATTGCCCGAATTCGAGCAACAAAAACGCTTGTGATCGAGGGAAATTGATAAAGGTAATTGACATGTATTTATTTGGGTAACCTGATAATTTTATACATAATTGTAAATTATTATCTTATCATAATCTCAATAATCTTATGTTTAAATTCTTATTTTTTTAGTGATAAAACCTAAGAAATTAAACTTTCAAACAATTGAAAAGTAACTCAATCTTGTGGGCTTCAATGAATCAATAAAACTTAGATTAATGTCAAGTTTTTAACACAAAATACAAATCCCCCTGCATTGTATTTGTACCCAAATAAATGAACTGGAAAAAGTCCAATTACTCCAAAATAAAATTGTCACACCAAAATATAATTTTCCTTGGAATGGCCCACAAAACCCATGCTGGAAAATTTATGTCCTTTTGTGTGCTTATTTCTTTATTTTAAACCTTGGGGAGGTAGTGGGGGGCGGAATCAACCGAGTTCACCCAAAGGTGCCCGAGTATGGCCGAAGTTACCCGAAAAGTCTCTCGGGTTATCGGGTGTGCTCTCGCTGGACCAGTGTATGAACCGCCCTGTTTCTGTGCGTACGGATTTCCTCGTAAGAACCAGGTAGGCTGGCTTCGTCTTTATTCGCCATTTAAATTTAAATGGGCCTATTCATTTTAAAGTGTTTATACGTAAGGAAACTCCACATTTAGTAATTTAAATGTTTGAAATATTTTATCACGGCTTAAAAGTTGAACTTGTGACCGCAGTAAAATGTATTTTTAACATGAATATAGAGTTTGTTCAACTTATTATGTAATTCAGTATTGTAAGCTGATCTTCCCATACCTAACTGGCAAAACAATGGGAGTTGATTATATTGCGATTTAGATTAAAAGATAGAATATTTTTTTTAATCCAGCACACTACTGAATGTTGTTCCTTCAGTAGTGTGCTGGATTAAAAAATATTTTTGTTTGCAATTCTTCAATCAAATTATGTATTAACTTTTACAACAAATACTGACACAAATACGTGTATTTGTACATAGATATATTACCTAAATAGTAAAGAGTTAAGCATTTCATTTAAAAGAAACACATAGTAAAAGTGCTACTTATAAAAGGTAGTGTACCTTCATAAGCATATCTTAATATACATATCCAGTTACCTTATTTAACCATACAAAACATACAACAGATTTAATCAACAAAATGTAACTAACCTTATTACCACCGATACTATTGAATCAACAACAAACAAAAATCACTCACTATCAAATGATTTATTTATATGATGTATTCCACGAATTTGTAAAAATGCCCAATACAAGTAATAAAAAATAGTATAAAAATATGAAAAGTAGAACGGCCAAACTCATCACACCATTGCGTATGTAAGGAGAAAATGAAAACAAAACCTCTATTTGATGAGAGATTAAGTCGCGTCTTCGTGCGAGTGCCGGATTTAAGGATTACCTCGTAAAACCCGGCGCTCCTTTTCACGCCACATTTGGTCGAATAAGGTCTCAAGTCTGGATTTCTTGGTTATCTAGTGAATGGAAGGGCGATTTTTCTTTGTTTATTGAAATATTAAATTAAAAACTTGTTGATTTTTTACAAAATAGCAACAAAGATTGGTTTTAAATTTATAAATAAGCCGTTTAGTAAAAGGGTTTTCTAGTCTTAAAAATGAATGCGTCTCATCTATTGTTTGGAACAATGTTTTATCATAGACAAAAATTATTAAATATAGACCGTCAGCTGTGCTGCGGTTACCATAGATTCTGGCACACACCACTGGGAGCGCCATGTTTTACGGCATACACGCTACGTAGCTACACGGCGCTCCCAGCGGTTGGCGCCAGAACCTATGGTAACCATGGTAACCACAGCACAGCTGAGAGTGTGTATTCAATTATTTTCGTCTATGATTTTATAAGTCTTTAAAATTGAGATTAATGTAATTTTTACAATGCATTTTCTAAGCCAATCTGTTTAGGGTAACAAAACTAACTTAAACGTATAATTAGTGCCTCCTATAATCTTCTCCTCTACCTGTCTGGTTTAGAAGTATCAAGAAATAAGTACCTCGTACGTAATAAAAATATTATATTAATAATGAAATAACTATGCCAACATGTTATAAAGACAACCAAGATTGTCTGTACAATGTTTAACGGCTGTATTTAAAAAACAACATCCAAAAACTACAAGTTAGGAAAACGCAATCTTTCCATGTGACCGAGCTAAATAATTTCTGGCCATAACAACTTAGTCACCAATGTGATTATCAGCCTAATGATAATGTTTACTGAGAAGTCAGCTATTTACAACACCATTGTTAGCATTAAAATCCATAATATTGACCACAGTCTTTATGATTTCATGATTTTCGTTGAGCTGTAATTTTTAAGCTATACTATATCCAAAAATGATTCAGCTTGGTTACATGGAAAGATTGCATTTTTCCCAACTTGTATTTTTTGGCATACCATAATACTTTGTACACACAATCTGGGTTGTATTTATGACTTGTTGTCATAGTTATTAAAAAAACTGTTTATACTGCACGAGGTTTATTTATTGATACCTCTAGCCCAGACAACCGGTATAGTAAAATATGCCATTGAATACAGCTTAATTTTTTTTGGTGAGCTACTTTTGTAATCTATTAAACAAAACGGGTTCTTTGTCAAACATCGCTTTAACAATCTGTAACCATTCCATATTTTATCCATTATTTTTACTATGAATATTTACAAGAATCAAAAATACTCATACTCCAAACAAATACATGAATTATCAAAAACAGAGAGAAAAAACGAGTAATATTTCCGATTTTCTCCTGGCTAATATCTGAAGATTAATATTGCAAATATAGTCCCTTAATATTTCGCATGTGTTCTGAATCAAAATTTGTCAGGTACTATCAAAAGCTTTGTGATATTTAAAAACTTATATATAATAATATATTACTGTATATGAATGTTTAAAACCAATGCTCCTAACATCCACTTAATTCCTTGAAAGAAGTGTAAAGTTGTTCAGTTGCTGTTTAACCTCTTAAACATGAAATGGTTTTGATTAAACACTTTCCAATTCAATCAATTTTTTTAAATAAAATATTTTTATTGGATGACGTTAAGAATCTCTAGTGATTCTAGTTAAATTGATGATCAGAATTGAAATTGGGGAGTTAGCTATAGTCTCTTAATGTAACATTGAGCACAATGAAGTTAATCCCGTATAGTGCGCTTTCTGTATCAGTTTCCAAAGGTCAAATGTCATACACGCCCAGTTAATTATCCCTAGCATGAGTACTTTTACTTTTAGTAAATTTACTATAATCTTTACTTTTGTTTTCTATTGTCATTGTCAATGTATGTAGGTAAATAGTGGTAATTGTTTTTTACAATACACCCGAGAAGAATTTCTGCACCTGTTCGATGTTGAAACATCGCTATGATCATTCAAGTGTTGTGCGACCGGATGATGATGTGTTAACAATGAAAGACTTAGTCCATTGTAGAAGAGTAATAAGCCAGTAGGCTATCCGTTTTGGTAACCTTTTCTCAATTTGAGTCAATGTGATTCGCTTTAAGATGATCACTAAGATTTGGAAAATTTTAACTTCAATTTATCCACTTTTTCAAAATATGTTTTAAGGTTGATTGTCATCCTAACCCATTCATCATTAGTAACTTTAGTTACTAGCAACATCACTGAACCAGCATATGGAGTGCCTATGAGCATGGGTCATCGAGAGATCGATGGCATGGGTATGTGCTCCTTTATTCAAAGTTCACATAGCTCATAAAAATATGAAGAAAAAAAAATAATTTCAAAATATTTTCTCCTGATGAAATCCCAGATGTTTGGTTCGGTTAATTTGTTATATATGATTATGTGTAGTTTTACACGGTGAGCTCTGGATTTGATACGTTGCAAAGGTTGGTGCGAGATGTTGAAGGTAGAAGGTTGAAGTATTATGTTCCTTAAACGAGATTCCACTCTATTCCTGGCTTTCAAAATAGTGTTTAAAACTTCGTGAAACGATGCACTATACTGAGGTGTATACTGTATAATTTCTAATATAATTGATTATATCATAAACTACTCAACAAAAGTGAAAGGTTATTTTTGGAAATTGGGATTATATTTTACCAAGTTTTTCACATATTCATTGCGACTCTTGGTTGGAATATATTATTGATGAAATAAAATTATTACCTTATCCAACCAACAACAGTGGTATGACTAGTTTTGTTCCTTAGAACTTTATCAGGTCATTTTGTATACCACATCATCAATGTATTAATACATTGTGTTATGTCAAATATTTTTTTTTTACTGTCACAATCACAATAATTGAAACTTGTCATGTTGATAAAAAAAAGTAAAAATGGAATAAAAATTGATAAAATTGATTAAAACTGTACAGGCTGGCCAGCACTGTCTATCACTGCCACTGACTAAATAAAACCGACTGAATCATGATGTTTCTTATTCCCTTCAGTGCCACCTGTATTTCAATTTCTGATGTTCTTCTTATTTCATACTTCTTTGATTATTTACTAGCCAACATATGTATCAAATATAATATTTGTTTGGAAAGAAGTCTGATCATTCAGACTGCTACAAGGGTAAGGGATTTTTGGCTTTGTAGATAGTGAATTCTTCTTTAACATCAAGCTTAAAACCTTTAGGTAATACTTCAACTATTTTCATGTTCTTATCAATACAGTAGATGTATAGTGGTTGTGCGATTCCGACATTAAGCCTATCTTCTACTGCCATCTACAATAGCAAAAATATCAACATATCGGTGGTAAGTTGATATTTTGGTAAGTGTTCGATTTTCGGTCATGAGGATACGTTTATTTTTTCTATGTGATTGAGGAATAGCGTTGGCTAATGTTCAAAGGCATAAGCCAGAAGTGTAACTTCCTCAAAGCTACAAAAACAATTAAAAGTACAGTACAAACTCTAAACAAAAGAATGAAACTACTTATCCTGCAAATTTACATAAATACATAGGTTGCAGTAGGTGGATATTTCATCTCATGAATGCCAATTTGATCAGGCTACACGATAAAGTTTCCTAACTGGTTAACTTTGGTATTACCTTCCCAATGGAGCAACATAGCTGAGGTACGATAATGGCTTCGACATTATACACACATTGTTGTATCGGATTTCTCCAGCGAGCGTTTACCTCCAATAACTACTCTGTATGGTTGTATCTATGATCGGAAACCCAGAGTACTTCATTTACAGGGATTCGTTTGCAGTAGGCAGGATATACATATATTAAATGTGAACAGTATTTAAGTGCTTAGAAGCTTACCTACGCGGATAAAATCTTGCAACTCTTTTTATTGGTACAAAAGAATTAATTTAGTTATATCTGATTTTTTTCTTGATAATTTAAATTTTGGAACTAATAAATGAGTGATTAATTAGTTTACATCAATAGACAAACCTAGGACAATACAGACTCTCACATCAAATTGTTGGTTCAACTCCTTTATTGATTTAAAAACAAGTCACATTTACATAATATGATTTGGTCATGTCCATTTCAGTAATGTTAAATAATATTTAATTTCTTGCCAGCGACGT